GACCGTGCTGGCACGCCCGCGCACAACCGCACCGCACCCAAAAGCAGGAAACCGCGTGTCAACGCATATCCCCTCGGCCCGAAACTCCAGGCCGTGAGATTTGCGCGGCAGACACATTCTTCCAATAAAAATCATCATTTTACTACGACAATATTTCCTTGCGACGGACTATATCTTCGCCATTTTCCAAACCGGTGGGTAATATTTTTCCAAACATCAACCATTGATTCGAGAGAAATGGAGCTCACCATTTTGGTTTAAATCAGTCTTGGCGATTATATGCACACAAAGGACAAAATGTAATGCCTCAACTTGGTTGCGGTAAAGTACAAGGCTAAGCCAAGTTTCTCCGCCGACGAGTATTCTCTCTCGGTGGCCGTTAGAATTCGACTGAGGTAATATACCGCTTGCTCTTCTCATCTTTGCCTTGGGCTAGCAAACTTCCAATGGAGTTTTCCGAGGCCGAAATATATAATTTCACTGGTCGGCCCCGCTTTGGCGAAATGAGCACCGGAGGCTTGGCCAAATATTCTTTAATGGCGTCGAATGCCCTTTGGTGAGTCTCTTCCCACCGAAATTTCTCTTCATCTTTGAGTTTTAATAAAGATGAGAAAGGCCCAACTTTTCCCGCTGAGTTGGCTATGAACCTTCGAAGAAAGTTAGTTTAGCCCAACAAACTTTGCACACCTTGTTTTTTGAATAGGGCGCGCGAATGATAGCCTTAGACTCATTTTTATCAATTTGAATTCCCCTTTGATGCACCAATAATCCTATGAAATTCCCAGCGGAAACCACGAAATCATGACTTACAAATTTGGCCTAATAAATTTGGCTTTCACAAGTCTTACAATTTCTTCATTAACTTGTAATTCTACTTTCGCCCACATCCGACAAGGCGACTGCTTGAAGGGCTTAAAATCTTCCACCGTTGGTAAGCAATGCTCAACCAAGTCACGACTCAATCTAGGCATCTCGGTGTGTTCCCAAGCGAAGCAATCCTTGAACTCCATGAGACATAACATAGATTGGTCGATGGTTGTTTTTCGTCCCCAAGCTCGAGTGCATCATCCTCCAAACCTTCATGAAGGAATTCCACCAAGTTGGACGGTGGACCCATGCTTGGCTGCTCTTTCGGCCCAAAAACAATATAGCCGTCTCAAAGGGTTTTCCACCACGGCCTTCTTCTCTTCCTCTATACTTGTATCACTCATTGAGGGAGAAAAAAATTAGCTATATTGGGACTCTCCCTATCTGCTTGGGCATCATATGCCCCCAAGTCTATCAACTTTTGGGCCGAGTCTCCCGTAGGTCGGCCGTTCCTATCTGACCCCGTAAAATAAAGAGGCCCAATATCATCCTCATAAAACTCTGCCTCCGTCGCATTGGCGGAGGCCATGAAGGACCGTGCATCGGCCCGAACAATCTCTACACTTCCATCCTCATGCCGAAATTGTAAAAAATAATGAAGTGAAGAGGGCACACACATACTTCCATGGATCCAATCTCGGCCTAACAAAACATTGAAATGGGTCGTTGTCTTCACCACAAAGAAGGCAGACATTTTAACCTTTTGCCCCACTCTAACTTGGAGTGGGATAATCCCCTTGGAAGTCGTGGTGTCACTCACGAACCCACTGACCGTTGTCTCAGTCGGAATTAATTCCTTTGAGCCTTTCTTTAATTTCCTCATGGTTGAGGCATGGAGGATGTTGACTGCAGCCCCTGTATCTACAAGGATGTTGCCAACTGGAACTCCATCAAAATGAGTGCCAATGTACAAAGGCTTAAGGTGGAGGACATTTTCTTAGTGGGCATCTCATAGCACACCTTTTCGAGCAATTTTTCCTCCGTTTTGGGCACCACGATGCAAGGTTGGGCATTCCATTCCTTTGGAACTTCTTGGGCCACCTCAATTTCTTTGGCCTCATTCATCTGGACCATGGACTCAACCTCGTCGAAAACATCTCCATCCATATAGTTGGGTTGATCCGGGCGAGCCTCGAAAAATAGTGGGAGTGTGACCACCATGACATTTACCTCATCAAAATCTCCAAACTTTACTTTGGCCTTGCCCACTTTTAGTTCATTTTCGAACTTGGCCATCTCTTCCTTACGTTCTTTCTCTAAGTGCTCCATAGCCTTCATCTCCATATTCTTCATCTTCGGCTATCAAACCTTCGACCGATGCAAAATTGGGCTGGTGGTTTTCTAGCATCTCTTTATCTTCTCCTTCAACCGTATATTCGGCCTCTTATCTTCCCTCGGCCGTACGTTCGGTATCTTTTCCTATTCTATTGGCCTCGGCCTCGGTCTCGACCATGACTTGGTCTTCCTCCACCTTTGGCCCACTTTCTTTCATATGGAGCTTGCCCCTAGTTTCTTCGACCATGTTCTGGTCATTTTCTCCTTTCTTCTTAACCTCGGTGGGCTGAGCTCCTTTGGTCACTATCGGAGTCTTGGCGACCAAAGGTTTGATTTTCGGTCAAGCAGCCCTTGCTTTCTCACCCTTCAAAGGTTTCTTGCCCACCATTTTGGTTGGCCTACTAACTTCAGCCTTAGAATTTTTGTCTTGAAAGCCCTAGTCAAATGGGCCTCCAATTCCAAGATTGGCTATTCCGGGACCGTTACCACGACTCGGCCATTCTAATTCCTCCAATTCTAATTCCTCGAGTTCTAATTCCTCCAATCGAATTCCTCCAATCGAAGCTTCTCTCGAAGCTCGACCAATCAGTCAAGTTGAGCTTGCCTTTTGTCCACCCATTCTATCTCTACCTTGCAAGTGGTGGCATGTTGCCTTTTGAGCCCTTCTCGTTTAAGTCTTGCTCAAAGGTACCAGAGGGAGTTTTGGCCTCTACTTCTATACCATTGGCCCCCTTTGTGTTCGGCACCTTGAAAGTTGGGGCACCATTACCGTCCGCTGGGCGGGGTCTTGAAACATATACCACATCTCGTTTTTGGCCCTCACCAACCGAGATCCATATGCTTCTGTTTTGGCTTGAGTCTGGTGAATCAATATCTTCAAACCTCATAAGGGCATGTTGATTTCTCCTCTTAGGCTGATATCGTGGCCTCTCGTACCTATCTTAATTTTCATGCAATGGCCGTTTGTTTGGCCTTACTTTCATTTTGCCTCTTGGGCTATGTGGGCCGTAATTCTCGGCCGGATTTGTTATCATAATCCTTTCAAAACTCCTAGGTCTGCCCACTTGGACTTGATCCTTGGGTTGCTCATTAATCAGCCCCTTGGTAGATTCCTTGGTTAGCTACTTGGGCTTTGACGGAACCACTTCGAGAGTTACCCCGCATTGGCATCGACTGCATAGAACAATGGGCTTTGGAGGTTCTTCCTTGGTCGAAACTTTTGTCTCAAGAATCTTGGCCACCTCAGGGTACATTTTGGCCTTGCCTCTTGCCTTAGGTTCCATCAGAATCTCCCTTGCCCTTCTTTCTAACTCAGCCTTTGCTGAGCCACACAAGTCCAACCTTTGCCTAGGTTGGTCTGGCCTTGGGAAATTGACATTCACCATATTTACTTGGGCATTTGGAAAAGGGTTCTGGTCGATGCCCATGATAACTTTCTTTGGAAACTTTATGATCTTTAAATCGATGAAGTCTTTTGAGAGGTTCCACTAAACTTGGAAATTTGGGCCGTCGTCGGCCTTTGATCCTTGAAGGCTTTAGACAAAGCCTTGCACATATAGCCCTTTTGCCATAATCTCGGCCAAGTCTACCCCGGCCGACTCTTCTTCTTCTT